TAATTCACTATCCAAAGATTCACAATTTTAAAAGTATCTAGATGCTACAAAGAAAAAGTCAAGTGACAGGACTTTGCAATAGATTAAATAATCCCGGACCAGCAGGAATCATATCAATTATTAAGCACAAATCAAAAATTGGGAACCGCTCAATTTATTAACCTGCAAAACCTTAAGTTACTTAACGGACAAAGGCAACTTTACACTCCAAGTAACCAGAATTGCTAAAGATATGGGAATAACATTTCATAGTTGAAAATGACAAGATATCTTTGAATTGAAAAAGAGAAATATCTGGATCAGAGAATATCTTACACCAGAAGAATATAAAAAAGCTATACCATCACTAAGAAAAAATCAACTGATGTATCTGGACTAGTTGATTGATCAGGAAACCAAAAATATAAGAGACTGGTGAATGCTTTAGCTCTTGCAAGATACAAGCAAAGGACCTATACTAGAATGGTTTTAAATTATAACCAAAAACTTTTCAAAAGAACAACTAAAGCAACTCACAAGATCTGAGAGAGAAAATTTTATGAAATGGGAATCAGAATACTCCAAAATAGAAATCAATTGAGACAAGCGGAAAAAATTGTGAATAGTGATGAGAAGTAAAAAAAATCTAGTAATATAGAGAAAATTTAAGACAAGAAAAAGAGAGAAACGTTACGATAGTAAAGCACTTTGTCAGTTGCAACACTAACAATGACCAGGAAACCAATATACAAAAATCCCAAGATGTTCAGAAGATACAATACTGAATGGTGACTGCATCATAGAAAGAGAAATAGAAGAGATATATACAGTACCATACCTCAACACAAGAAAGTCCACTAGAAGAACATATGATTTAAAAATTCCCAATCCTAGTTCAGCACTTGAAAAAAGGATTAAAGAAGTGATTTACAGAGACCAAAGTCTATTCAAGATTCAAAACAACAGAATAAATCACATGAACATTGTAACCTGGGAAGAATCTATTATCAGAGAAAATATCAAAGAAGGCACATATCAAAATCATCTGATAGCTATACCTTAACATAATCTCGAATCCAAAGAAAAGCCAATCTTCTATTCTAATGGATCACTTATTAATCATAGTAAAGAAGAAATGAAGATGGGTGCAGCTTGGATTCAGATTGGCAAAGATGAAATGAAAAGCAAGTTTCAAACAGGAGTAAACAAGTGGCTCTCATTTACATGAGCAGAATTGGTAGCAATCATAACAATTCTTCTGGTAGTTTCAATAGAAAGCATAGTGAAAATATTTACAGACATTCAGGCATGTATCTTTAAGTAGAAATCTTTAGAAAAAGAAGATTCAAGAAGAACACACAAGAGATGGCTCAAAGAAAAAATTGGTTACTCTGGGCATGCATGGTAGAGCTAATAAAGAAGAAAAATATAGATCTAAAGCTCACAAAAGTCAAAGCATATTCAAATAATTCTTATAATGAAGAAGTAGATATCTTAGCTAAAAAAGCTCTAAAATTTCCACTGATTGAATGGAAAGATCTCACCTCATGTAAAATTATTACTGAAATCAAGTGGCAAGGGATGACTCTAGATGATTCAATCAGGCAGTTTATTAAGAACATTAATAATAAGACAACCACCTATCAGTGGACACAACAAAATAGAACTGAGAAAAAATGGAGTCAACAGATTTCAGAACACCAGGCTTATATATGGGACCTAATATAGGAAAAGATTAAAGATGGACACATGTGGGATACATCTTTTAAATAATCTTAACAAAGAAGTTTTCTAATCAAACTGACTAATGACAAGCTATCTACACTAAGTAAGTTGGCTATAAGAAGACCAGACCTATACAAGCAAGTGAAATGTATCGTATGTAGCCAACAAGACAAAACCATAGAACATTTGCTAGAATGTTCAACCTATAAGAACCAACTAAAAGAAGTATGGAATAAAGAAGTAGATAGTATTATCAGAAACTTTAAAGAGCTACTAGAGGAAAGAAAGAGAAAGGCTGAGGAGAAAAATCCTAGATTAATTATCAACAACTGAGAAGAGATAGGAGAGTTTGACAAATGGATCTTTAAAGTAGTAAAACAGGTTTCTAAAACTAGCCAGGACACACTAAGCTTCTGTACTGATCTTATAAGAACAAATATTATTCTAGAAATGGCAGATCTAAAATGTCAAGGTAAATGCATAAGAAGAATAGCAAGAAAATGAATAATAAAAATATAAAGAAGAGTTTGCAATCAAGTCCAAAAAGAAATCTGGAACAAGAGATGTGAAATGGTAATTGAGTAGAAAAAAACACAAGAAATTAATAGAGAGAACAAGACAAGAAAACCTCTATATCTTTCAAACCTGAAATCGATACTCATAAAGAAAAAAGAATCACTACCAGAAGAAGGAAACCTCGAAGATGAAGATCTCTGAGAAATTTTAACAAGAAAAGTGAAGTATGAAATAAAATGGTTGGGGTTTTAAGCTTTGTTAGAACATTGCAGAGTGATCTGCAGTAGTGACCTGCAGGCAATAAAGTCAACAGTTGGAAGGATCTTTACCTGAACTATTAATGGAGCAATAAATCACTCCTGAAGTTGTACTTAGAGTTTTAATAATTCTTTAAAACAGAGACGAGTGAGTTAGGTAGAGTCTTAGCTTTAGCGATACATTCTCCAATATAAAGTATATATATGTTTAATAAAGCACACGTATCTAGCCTGACAGAGGGTTATAAAAAAAAAATAATAATAATTTTAATAAATTAAATTTTTATTTAATATAATAATAAAAATATATCAATGATCTGTGGATCTATAGCACAGTGGTAGTGTTCCCAAGTTGCAATTACAAGGTCTATAGTTCAATATCATATGAAGGCCATGTAAAAAATTTATAGAATGAAAAAAACCATCTATTATACAAAACACAATTAGGTTTCAGAAAATACTGATTATCTTTATTCCGGTTTTATACAAACAGGATTTTTCCATTTCTAGTTCTAAGCAGGTTTTTCTTTCTATAAAAAGCACAATCAATATGACTAAACACAAACAAATTTGGGAAAGGTATAAAACTGCATCAAGTCCATTAAGAACCATTTGAAAGGTGTACTTCTCCTTTCATAGAACTAGCAAGTTAAGCCTGACAAGTTAGTTGAGAGGAATCCGAAAGGCCAAAAATAGGGATGCCTGGATTTTTTAGATAGATAGTAGTAGAAATTTAATCTGATCAAATATTTCTGGGCAACAATCCATCCAATGGATCCTTTAAAAGTAAGGTTCTAGAAATATTTGTTAATGCAAATGATAGAAAATATGTAATATCTGCAATTAAATTTGTAAATTACTTTATCAATGTTAATAAATGAGACTGAGCTTCCATTTCACAAAATAAAAATATATCCATTATATTGTAATAAAGCAATTTAACTTTGTTATTACAAACCTATTAGTCAATAGTACATAACAATACTTTCAAGTTATCAAGTATTATTTTCAAGTTCAATACTACTATAAAACAATATTATCTAAATCAAATAATATAAGAAGATCCTATTCATTTCATGATGATAATCTAACTATTTCTAGATAAGATTACTAATGAGTCCCTAAAATATTTAGCATATAGAATTTTGCAAATCACTTATGTTTCTTTTTGAGAAACAAAATTCATAGCTCTTTATTTTAATAGGAACAAAAGTCAGAAAATACCATAAATCAATGATTTGGATAATGAAGAACAATTGTGAATAGTTTTTTTATAAAAAGTCAGAAAATGCTATAAATCAATGATTTGGATAATGAAGAACAATTGTGAATAGTTTTTTTATAGTTTTTAATTTAAAATTTTTAATGTTTCCTAGTGAGGAACATTTGATTTTTGTTCTTGCCTCCTTCTTTAGGAACCCATCTTTAGACAAGACCCCATTCAATTATGGAGAATCAAAAGATCATAAAATGTTTTATCAATTTTAATGCAGCAACTACTTTGTCACAAGACAGGTTCTTTGCAGATAGGTTGAAAATCCATGTGATACAAATTTGAAGAATCTAATAAAGTTCAAACACATAAGTTAAAAGAAGATCTCTACCCACAGAATATACCATCCAAAACTCCACATGATCATTTTATAGGTAAATTTAATAAATCATATAAAAAGAATGGTTTGAAAATAAAATGTCATCAAAGACTCTATGTAGGTACTCCCTAGGCTTGCCATAATAGGTAAAGTAAAACGAATACCTGGTGGAATGAGATAAAAAAAAGAGGGTTTGAGCTTTGGCCCAAAAGCAAGTTAAAGAAAAGACACCTCTTCCGGCAACAAGACTCGTAGGGCTGCTAAGAACAGCAAAACGGATTTCATTACAAGCTTTAACCACGTTGTATAGTATGCAAGTATAGGTTATCATGTACTTAGTATAGCACTCTGTATCTGTAATCTACATGAACGGTGTACTTGGCTATAAATTGGCTTCATTAACCCTTTAAAAAAAAAAACTTTGTTACTACTTATAGTAATAAAGTATATCAACTTTATTTATTTATAAACTTACTAAAATATCAACAGTATGTTAGACATTCTTATCTGTACTATATTATAATTAATTTTTAGATAATCGTTAGATTTCATCCTGCTCTTAAAAATCAGACAGTTTCTTATATTCTTACAGTCTTTTATTCGGTTTGCTTTTTAAAACTCGCAAAATGCATATAAACCCGGGAAGTTAAATACAATTGGAAATTTGCATTATGCCAGTTAAGTGATATTTTAATTTCAGCTATATACGTAGATTGATTTAATGATCTCGTTCTAAATTACATCAATCTAAGTTGAGTATTTTGTTTAATTCTGACTTATATTCGGTCACTAGGCGTTGCAAGTCTCTATTAGATGCTACAAGAAAATGGACATATAAAATCAGTCAGGTCGCTTAAATAAATGAAAAAATAGACAGAATTCTATACATACATAGTATCTTTAAGACGTCACCAAGAAGTTGTCGCTTCGACATGCCCTATGGTTAAATAGAGAATTTTATATTAATTATATTAATTACGGTGTTCATTAATCAAAAAGTCGCTAATAAAATAAAAAAGCTTGCCAATAGTAGTGGATCCCAATTTGTTTGACGTTGAATACCGCTTATACTTTCGGAACTGTAGTAAATCAAATTACATTATAAAGATCATTAGTAATGAAAATACAAATAGACAAGAACAAATATGATATGGCACATACGTGTGTGTAGGGCCGAGTAATTGGTTACACAATTCGTGCACTCTTAATTCAGAACCCTCGTCGGCCAATTGCTGCGCATATGAGAAGAGCAATCGCTTATACTCCGCCGGAGAATTGATTAATTCAGCAACTAGAAGTTGATTCTGAAGGAAACCTAACAAATTACAGTGTTGTCCAGAATTTTCGGGCCCAGGTGGTCTCCTCAAATGAGAAAGTGACCCTACATTCTGGGAACGTTGCCTGGAATAGTTGTCTAAATTTTCCAACAAACAATTTCCGGTCACGTCTCCACTAGACTCTTGTCCCGAAGGATTCGGAAGTGTATACCTAGGATCATGCGCACACATCCAACAGCGCATACCCGTGTGATAACACCATGCATCATACCGACTCGTTACCAACAGAGGGGTGCCATTAGAGCGAACACAAGCTGTCACAATCGAGACCGTGGGTTGAAGACTCTCGGATGGTAACGACGCGGAAGACAATATCGGCGCTATCGACACCGAATCAACTTTAGCCTGTCGATTCCGTAAATCCCTAATGATAATTTTAATTTAAACTAAAGGTGGAAAGATTCTATTGCTCAAATTGAATGAACATACCAGACAGTCAGCAAACCAACTTGAGTCAGACATAAAAGATAATCGCGGCAAATTTCCAAAAAAGATGCCGTGGATTCAAGTCTAATATTCGGCAGTAACCTGATGAAACAATATATGCCATTTGTTCATAATTATTTTTAAAAAAAGAATAAATAAACTTTATATATATATTATACCTATTTCCAGAGTTGGAATATATATAAATTCCTCCATCCTCACAAGCAACAGCAGAATATTGCGCATTACCCGTCATTAAGATGACAGCACTCGGTATAAAGTCGAACCACACGCGGACCTTTCCTCGAGTGCACACCAAATGGGATAGACCTAAATTTTCAAAGTACGCATCGGTAAGTACAATGACGATGCCAATTTCCTCAAAAAAGAAAAAAAAAGTCATGCGCTTGCCGTTATTATTATTGTGACATTCAAGTTTCAAGGTGGCACCATCCAATTTATCTTTGGTCAAGTGTTCTCGAACCTTATAAGAAGCCAGTCTAATTTGTGACATTACTACAGAAGGGGAAACCATGGCAGGTCTTAATACATTTGATTCTACTTCCGAATTTGACTTTCCGGAAACATTCATTCGTTTATTTGACGATGTAATGTCTGGTGGGCCCGAGTCTTTGCGTTTGTTTCCAACAATTAGAGCAGGAATTCCGCCTGGTGGAAGAGCACGAGATGGAGGTTCCATCTCACCACTTGTTCCCTCTCCTGACGTCGTTTGTTGAGTAGAATGAATCATGTTTGAAGCATTCAAAGAAGCACTGCCGCTAATGGACGAAGCCTGGAAGAAGTAAATTAATTTCAAAAAATGTGCATTATGCAGATTAACAGAACAATAAGATAATAAATATTTACCGGGATAGTCGATGAAGTGGAATTGAGTCTATGAAAGAAAGAAAAATGCGAGTCGTTGAGTCATGAAATTAATAAGTAAATGTGATGGAATCTTCAAATTATATTCACCCTCCTAAAAATTGTGGTTGAATTCTTTTCTTTCCTTCTCTTGTGAACGAAACTTTCGGCTGATCTCCAGCTTTGGTAAAAGCACTGCTAGATGCAGATGTTGAAGATTCAACAACATTCATTGGCAAGGGTCCATCTTTTGATAATTGAGGTGCATTCTCTGGGGAATCAAAATTCGTTATCATAGGTTCAATTGCCGAATTTTTAGTTACTGAAGCGTTTGAAATCCCAACGGTTGAAGTTTCCATAGGTACCATGCCGGACATGCGATCGGATTTTTCATTTCTTTTCGCAATCGCGTTCTCATTTTCCAAGTCGAGTTGAGTGGTATTTTCAAGTATAATCGGTTCTTTTGCTTTGAATCCGTACTTCATTATGTGTTTTTCCTGGAGGAATAAAAGTAATGTTTATTTCTAAATTAAGCTCCCAATAAAACATACATTATATCTGCATAAAACTAACAAGTTCCTCGTTTGACACACGCTCGCCGAATTCGTTAAGATTGAACTGTAGAACGACTACAGTCCCGTCATATGAACATGCATAGAGATGTGTTCCATCAGGAGACCTGCGTGGAAGGGAAGAGAAAATTTGAGTTCCTAAATAATATTATTTGAATATAGTACTTTCTTATAATATGAAAATTAATGTACCAGGCCAAATCCAAAACAGTATGTGCAAAAGGTTTCTGACAAACAAAAAGTGGTCTGGCATTCCTGGTTACCCATACTGAAATGGTGTGGTCTTGGCTTCCGACCGCGCAAACACTACCTAATTTCGCAGGGGCGTCAGCATCATCGCTTTCAGGAATCATAAACAAAACTGGGTTAAAGGCCTTTAATAAACACAAGGCGTGATAAGTTATAGAAGAAATGCGAAGTAATCCGGTGATTGTTTGAGTTACATGTAAATTATTATTAGGTCATTACAAAAAAATGAATTATTTAACTTCTTACCACGACTTCAATCGCAGATTCATGTCCCACTAGAGATACATCTGTACGCCATTTACCGCGACCAAAGATCGCTGCAATAGGTATAGGACCTTGCGCACCATTAGCTGTCGCAACATGAGATCCATCAGGTGACCAACTAATGAGTTGAAATGACGTTAGATCTAGAGAACCCAACAGTACCAAGTATATGTGATATACAATATGATTCTAATACCTGAGTCGGCGGTAAAAAGTCGTTGTTGGAGAGCTTGCATATGGTTCACTAATTTCGGCATGTACACTCCAATCAGTAGTGCTCCAGATCTTTACTGTTTTATCATCTGACTATAGAATTTATATTGGTTGGCTTTGTCATTACGGTTATGCGTTTAACATTAGAAGATCTATCATGTACCTCGGTCGCAAGAAATTCCCCTACGGGATCCCATGTGACCCCTTTAACAAAACCCTGATGCTGTTCCAGTTTGTGCAACTTTTCTAATTCAACCAAAAATATGTTAGTCTCTTAAAAACAAAGAAATTCGCAAAAATCTTTATGCATCTTTTTACCAAATGTCTTGCCATCCCATATGAACACCAAACTGTCTAAGCCGCATGAAGCTAGATAAGTGTTTTCCCTTGACCAACCGAGGTCAACGACATCTGTAAACCAATGCGAAATCATTTAATAAACAGAGTCTTGATATCGCGCGTTAAAAATATTGGGTAATAAAGAAACCTGATTGATGCCCCGAAAGCCGTTTTCTCGGCTTCCAATTTTCAATATTCTGCTCTCCACTTCCAAAAACACTCCCACCTGCCCACCCCTCGGTAGATCTGAATCAAATGAAATCCGTAATTATCAAAAAAGAAATTCATCAGACCTGGTAAACCAGACAATGCTAATTATTTACTTGTCCCATTCCCATATTAATACAAGTTGGTCATCAGAACCCGAAGCTAAATATTGTCCACTCTTGTTTGACCATCTGACACAAAGAACCGACCCTATAATTTTTTCACACAATAATACGTGAATATTAAGACGCGACTTTATAGCATTGTTCTTAGTACAAACCATTATGTTGACCAAGTGTGCATAAAAGACGCGGCAAAGTTGGATCATCGGGGTTCGTCGTAGCTACTATACTTGCGGTACTCCATAATTTTATTTTATTATCTGATTGCGAGCAGGAGAAGGTAGCAAGAATAATAGATTGTGTAGAAATTAAATAAGGGTAAAAGCATAAGTTGAGTGGCAAACGCGTAGAACTGTCACTTAAAGAATTACTATTTCGGTCAAGACATTCTAAGAAATTTTTATATACCAAGTCCTCCAGTTGCTAAACGTGTTCCATCGGGGTGGACGTGGATCGAGAAAATTGAGGTTTTTTGATTCTTATCGTCTATGGAAACATAAAAAAGAAGTGAATAACGAGATACTAATAAAAAAAATTAAATACATTAAGGGATAGCAAACCAAGGTGAGCGAGCCAACTGGGTTTTGTTAATCGCATTTTGTGAATATATAGTCCGAACAAAAGAAACCAGACGCGGAAAGCAATTAAGATACTATCAAAGCGTGAAATTAAAGTAACGTATTACATTTGAGATTGAATTTTTTGGTTAGGATTGGATCAAAAAGGACGATCTTCGTACTGGTCATGTGGACTACTTTCCTTAAATATTTTAAAATGGAACTGTTATTCAAATTCCATAACTTGTTACTAGAAAAGTCTTAGTATTTTACTTACCTATGCTTATACAGTTGCTTCCAAAAGTGAGTCCACTTACTATATTATTATATTTTTTTCTTTATCAAATTTTTATTTTTGAAAAATTTTGATTGGCTGTTGTTGTAATAAAACTTTAGAATATATTAATAAAAAAATTTCAAAAAAATAAAAGAAATAGAATTTTATAATTTTAACTGTATAGTTAATGATTTGAAAATTGTCAAAGTTGAAATTTATAATAAAAATATAGTAAATGGATTCAAACTTTTGAAAGCAACTGTATTTTATAAAAAAATATAAATATTATATATTTTTTTTTTGAGTATCCGTAGTTAAGTTAGATTATAATTTATTAATCAATTGAAAACATAAGTATATTTTTATAACTAAATTGTCTATAATAAGTTTATTAAATTTGATAAAAATATAATAGTCTCTAAGTTAGTCTTGAAGACAATATTTTATTTCATATAGTTTTTAACTAATGTGATCAAATTTATATTTGACTGGTGTATCCAAGTGGAATTGCTTTTAAAAAACAATTTCCAAAGAAAGAATTAAAGAAATGGTTTATAATAAAGAAATATTCAAGAAGAGATTTACCAAGAATCCTTTAAACAGTGTTATACAATATTTTACAAGAAATATGATTCATTCTGAACCCAAGTTTATTAATAAATCAAGAAAACTAGGACAATTCCTTTAGTCCTAAAATCAAAGGAAGATATCCAATCTCCTAAAAGAAAAGTGAAATTATTTCTAAACTTCTAAAGTCAAGTGAAGCTATCTACAAACTTTCAAAGTCAAGTAAAGTTATTATCAAACTTATCCTACTTTTAAACAAATTATAATTGCTTATATACTTGTAAAAATGGATCACTTGGGTCTCTTGGGCCTTCTGGGCTACCTGATCTATGCCACATGCTACATTTGATAAGTAATCTATGCTAATTAAGTATCAATAAAAATATCAAGAAATAATTATAAATAAATAAATAAAAATATAAATAGAATAAAGATCATGACTAAAAATAACTATCCAATAGTATTAGAGACTATTTTTATTACACTTTCCTCTCCTTAAAAGGTGAAGTCCTCTAAGTCAAGTTTCCTCACATAGGAAATAAAATCATTTCAATAAATTTTATTAGTCATCCCAAATAGATAGTTCATAGACAAAAACTTTATTCGATAAATTTGATTTGGATTGCCTTGAAAGATTTTATAGATGTGCCTAGCTGTGTGATAATAGCGGTGAGAATTTTGAAGTGAATTTTCCTGGAGATACTGTTGTCACAATTGTTTGGGATCCTGAACAGTATTCAATAGTTCTCCCAAATAGTATAAATTGATCAAAGTGGCTATGCAATCAGATTGTTGCATATGTTGCTTGATTTCTAAAAGAGCATTTTTGATACTATCCTTCATTGAGTGATAAGGTTATATGGGGGTTCATACCAGTTTGAAGTTTCATTCAAAATGAATAACATATCCATTTTGAGTAAGTCCAGTTTCCTTGCAGCTGATTGTTGGTAGCTAAGTTTGAGTATTTTTGATGGGAATTTCCCATAAAGACATTCCTTAAATATATTTTAAGGTTGTACCATTGATGATCAATCTATCCCAATTTGGTTTGATATGATAGCTTGTCCAACTGATTATCAATTCCTGTTCAATATTAAATAGATAGACTTAAAGAATGGTTCATCACTAATTCCTATATTCCATATCTCAATTTCCTTAAAAATACCTCATATTAATATACTTGAGCATGTTATTGAACATTCTAATCCAGTAATCAGTTGCATCATATTGATGCAAGAGAAAATAAAATTCCTTGGTTAGGCTTTACTTTATTGTTATTATTCAAAATATGAAGAAGAATTGGCCTCCCTTTGGACCAAACTTTCCATATTTCATGAGCAATTTAGAGCTCAGAGAAATATCTTGTGGCGGCTTCATCTTCATGATCAAGAAGTTATGGTCCAATATCAGCAACGAATAATTTCACTCCTTCAAGTAAACTCAAGATGGTTGGCTTTGAAGCTTTCTCAATGGTTGACAGTGTATTTAGAAATTCAAGCACTTTATCTCCATATAGAAAAACTGTGGGTTCCACTAGTTCAAGCAAATATCCTTCCAAATTTACCTTCCTCCAGAGCCATCAGTGAATGGCAGATGGGTTTAATTGGTTCTCCTTCCTGAAGTATTTTTCTAGCTTGACAATCTTTGCATCTGGATCAAAAACCAACTTATGATTCTAATTCTCCTCAAGTTCCAAATTATGTGTCTTCCCAGAAAGAGGAATCAAATAATTAATTTTGCCATTTGTTTTTCAATAAAAATTCCTTTTGTCGCTAGATACTGAAATATTTTATTGTCACTATGATGCTTTGTGGGCTGGTGACTTGTGATATAAGGTGACGCTCTGAGTACCCTTATTCCATATTTGCATTTTTTACTCCTAATAGATATTATGTGCCTCAACATTCGCATATAATTGTCATGACCATCCAACTATACTGTCATATCCAAAGAAGATAAATTAATAAACTAAGGTAAGAGAAACTATAAATAAATAAATAAAATATGATATAATAAAGAAGAAAATAACCAAAATAAGTGACTTTTTTGAATACTATAGCCTCAAACACTATCCTGCACTTGGCGCTATGTAGCTGACCAGCTCGAAGGCATATGTCATAGGTTTTCTATGTTTTCAGGAAACCAAGGTTGTCTACAGCTATGTATATGGATTCAATAAGTCACTTAGTATAAATATGAATATATAATAACTAATACTAATAATGTTTTTGTTTTTCCTATAATATATAATGTCCTATAACTATATAA